TCAGTCGAGAGCCTGGACGTTTTGCTGCTAGAGTTGGAGAAAGGAGGTTCCTTGCACACTCCCCAGACAAAACCCAGCTGGACCAACAGATGAACCTCTGGGGGAGGGGAGAGAGGGGGGGGAGATGCTTCCCCGTATCTAGAGGGAGCAACCCAGCCTCAGGGCCGGAGGGCCAGACCCCGCTGGGCAGGTGCCTTTCCTTCACGACCTTTCTGCAGCTTCCCAGCAGCGCCTGCCTCGTTCTGTCCGTGTTGCCCAGCTGAGCATCATCATCAGTGTAGTTCCAGCAGACCTCTGGGGAGGGAGAAGGGAGAGGCAGTAGTTTCCTTGGGGTACGGGCAGCACACCCCAGCAGAAGAGGGGTGGTGGTGGTGGTGGGAAGGACGGAGGTGCAGATGACTCTATGGCAGGACTGGGGTTGGGGGGGGTGCCCCATACATCCCTCCATCAAGGTTTTCCCCCAGTTCATCAAGTCTCAAGGGGTGCATTTGTGGGCACCCTAGATTTTGGGGGAAACCCTCCTTCCTGGAGAGGCAGGACAGGGGGAGGAGCAGCTTTGAGAGGAAAAGCAGAAAAGGGGGGGGGGGAGTTCCTGGGGAGGCCCCCCCCCCATCCATGCCACCAGACAGGAAGGCTTTGTGGGGTGCCCTCTGCCTTAAACCTCTCTCCTTCTTTGCTCACCCCCCCTGCTCTTCCCTATTCTGTAGGATGAGGGACCAAAGGCCGCCCGGTGCCGGGGCGGCCACCGGACTGGCCGCGGCCATTGCAGGAGCCAAGCTCAAGAAAGTTGGCAAGGTGAGCCCGGGACCAGGGAGGGAGGGGCTCGAAGAGGCTGGGGGGGGCTATCGGAGAGAGGGGCTCTCCTCCCTCCAGAGCCTGGAAGTTTTGCTGCTAGAGTTGGTGAATGGAGGTTCCTTGCACACTCCCCAGACAAAACCCAGCTGGACCAACAGATGAACCTCTGGGGGAGGGGAGAGAGGGGGGGGAGATGCTTCCCCGTATCTAGAGGGAGCAACCCAGCCTCAGGGCCGGAGGGCCAGACCCCGCTGGGCAGGTGCCTTTCCTTCATGGCCTTTCTGCAGCTTCCCAGCAGCGCCTGCCTCGTTCTGTCCGTGTTGCCCAGCTGAGCATCATCATCAGTGTAGTTCCAGCAGACCTCTGGGGAGGGAGAAGGGAGAGGCAGTAGTTTCCTTGGGGTACGGGCAGCACACCCCAGCAGAAGAGGGGTGGTGGTGGTGGTGGGAAGGACGGAGGTGCAGATGACTCTGTGGCAGGACTGGGGTTGGGGGGGTTGCCCCATCCATCCCTCCATCAAGGTTTTCCCCAGTTCATCAAGTCTCAAGGGGTGCATTTGTGGGCACCCTAGGTTTTGGGGGAAACCCTCCTTCCTGGAGAGGCAGGACAGGTGGAGGAGCAGCCTTGAGAGGAAAAGCAGAAAAGGGGGTGGGGGAGTTCCTGGGTAGACCCCCCCATCCCTGCCACCAGACAGGAAGGCTGTGTGGGGTGCCCTCTGCCTTAAACATCTCTCCTTCTCTGCTCCCCCCCCCACTGCTCTTCCCTGTTCTGTAGGATGAGGGACCAAAGGCCGCCCCGAGCGGTGCCCCCCCACCCAGCGGGCCAGGTGGGGGAGGGCTCATGGAGGAAATGAGTGCCATGCTAGCGCGACGGTGAGTAGGGAGGGATCCTGGGTCGGCGGGCGGGGTGAGCTTTCCTTTCTTGCAGCCCTGGGCACGCACAACCCCTGCGTCCTTCAGGGTGAGCGAGCGTGCTGCCGTAAGCTGAGCACCCTTTGGTCCCTCCCCAGGAGGAAAGTGGCAGAGAAGAGCGAGAAGCCTGGCCCAAAGAAGGAGGAAGGCCAGATGCAGGTGAGAAGGCCAGGTGGCCCGGCTTCTCTTGTCCCCCCACCGGCCCCTCCCTGGGTAGAAGGAGAGCACCCTCCTTTGCAAGGTGGATCCCACCCGCCCAGGGCTTCAGGGGCAGGGAGAATCCCCGGGGAGGCAGAACTCTCTCTCCCTGCTGGCCCACAGACCGGGGGGGGGGGCAGTTCAGGGGCTCCAGGTTTCCATCCTGTGGCCTGCAAAGGAGGGGGGAGGATGGGCGCCATGCGCGACTCTCAGGCTCACCGATGCCCCTGCGATGACTTTTTGTTTTGTCCTCACAGCAAGATGACGGGGAAGCCACTGGTGCCAAAACCACAGGTGGGCAAGAGGGAGCGTCGAATCCAGCCTGAGGACCCCCCCCCGAGACCCCAGCCTTGTGAGGAGGGGGTTAAGGGGCAAGTGACTCCAGGCTGCAGGGCATCCAGCTGTCCGTCGTGGGCCAAGGAGCGGGGCCCACCTGGGAGCCTTGTCATGTTCTGCATTTTGCCACGTGGGCAGGGGCAGATCGGCAGCATGTGTGCGCACACACACGGGGGGGGGCGCACACAGAGGGGCCTGACTCTGCATGCCAGCTTCTGATGCCCCTGACCCGCCCTCACTCTCTTCTGTCTCCCTTGTCGCAGACTCCTTCCGGAGGCCTTGGGAGAAGACCAGCACGACGCTACCCAGGTGAGCGCTGCCAGCCTGGGGGCTTTCGGGGGCGGGGAGGGAAGAGAGACCTTCCACGTCTGGCAGCTTCTGCAAGGCTTGGGAGGGGCCGGGCAGGTCGGAGAACCTCCATGGAGAACCAGTGGAGGGTGTGTGTTTGAGGGGGGAGGTTTAACCGTTCTTCTCCCCCCCCCCCCCAAAAAAAAACCCACCTTTGTCTCAGTTTCTTTCTTCCCTCGTCAGGAAAACTGTGACCCAGAGGAGCACGACACCCCCAGGCCCGGCCCGGCCTCAGGTTGGCCAGTTTAGGTATCAGGCAGAAGGGGCCGGATAAGTTCTTATTGTGCTAAGTTATCTGTAGAGCGTAGTTGAATCATTTGAAGTTTACTAAGAAGGGAGAGCGGGCCCTCTTTCTTTGGCCCCCCCCTCGGGGCAGCCGGATGCCGGAGAGGAAAGGGTGCCTGCACTTTAGCGACTCGGGTTCGCCCCTTCCCGCCCGGTTCCCTCGGACGGCGTCTGTCAGAATTCTTTCCTGGCAGCTCTGGGCATGTTGTGCGACCGGAAACAATCTGTTCGGTTGCCAGCTGGGCATAAATACCAAACCTCTGCCAGCCTGGCCGTTTGGAGGAGCAGAAGCAAGACCAGGAAGCTAAACTTTTGGAATGAACACTCTCAGAATCCCCCGGGGCTAGTTGTGGGACATCCTGGTGCTTGTAGTCCAAAAAGTGGGCAGGAAAAATGGTCTCCGAACTATAGAGGCTTTGAACGACCCAGCAAGGGGGAGAGGGGCCCGTGTGCCCAGACGGAGAAGTAGCGGAAGACCCCCCCCCCGTCCTCTTAAACCACCCAAAGAAGGACCCCCTTTCCCTGGGCATCGGATGGAACGAGGGGAGCGGGGAAGAGGGGACCCTGGCAAGGTCTCCGGGAGAGCAGGGAACAAAGAAGGGGCAACAGGCAAGCTATGGTCACGATCCAATTGCTGTCCTCCCAAGAGTAGCCCCATAGGGAATTTTGCTGAATGGCAAGTCACCACTTGAGTCTTGATCCCATGGACTCAGTGGGTGTGACTCCAGCGGAGACCAGCCGTTGGATGTGCTTGCTAAATGCCGTCGGAGCCTCTCTTGCTGGTCGCCAGGAAGCTGCGGGACCCTCTTCCAGCCGCCCCCCCTTTTCCCGGGATTTCTTCCCCACAAAACCCAGAGCCAGGAACCCCCTTTATTTCAGAGGGGAAGCCGAAGCTCAAGTGGAGTTTCATGTGGGTCTTTGTATGTTTCCCAGACCAGGCAGAAGCCGTCCTCTTGAACCCGGCTCCCTCAGCCCTTCCTCCCTGAGGTCCGCCCCCCCCCTCCAGTATTGATTCCCTTTAAGAAGAGGTTAAATGGTCTGAAGGTCTCTTCTCCGGGTCTCATTCTCCTTTGAAGCCTAGGAGGGGAAGGGGGTCTCAGAGGGAGAAAAGAAGCCCCTTTCTGCTCCCCCTCCCTATAATTAGGCTCCTTCCGCTTCCCCGTAGTGAAAGGGTGCTGTTAGCCTTGGGACCTCTGAGTCGCAGCCAGACCCCTTGCAGGGAAGGAGCCGTATCCCATGAAGGCCCTCCTCCTGGCCACGCTTCACGCTGGAGGAAGGGCTCTTTGGTGTTCTGAGCCGTTAGTTTGGCTCCATGGTGGGGAGGGCCCGATACCCTCTTTCGCTCCCTCCGCTTCTTTGCATTTCATAGCCCCCGTCAGTGGGGTGAGCCGTGTCCGGTGGGGCCCCCACTCATGGGTGTGCGGCCCTCTCCTCGGACGCCTTGCTTCCCTTGGGTGGATCCTGGATAAGATCCAGCAGAACTCCCTTCTCCCCTAAACGTTGCTTCTGCCCCCCCCCAAAATGCAGGATGAAATCTGCCGGAGCCATCGCGGGTGCAGAGCCCTCGAGCGGCGGAGGGGACGAGTCGGAGCTGGAACGGGTGAAACAGGTAACCAGCACCCAGCCTTGCCCACCTTCACAGCTTGGGAAATCATTCTTGCGGACGGGGGCTGTTGAATTCCAGGAACACACACTCCCCCAACCGGAACACAGTCGGGGTCCATGTTGGCTGTGTGTGTGTGTGTGGGGGGGAATTGTGATCGCATTAGCCCACGAAAGAAGCACAGCTGGGTCAACCGGGGCTGAGTCCGTCTCGAGTCGGCTGCCTGGGATTGAACCCAGGGCTCGTGAGCAGAGTTTGGAGTGCAGGACTGCAGTCCAGCCTCTGTGCTGCGAGGCGAGGCTTTCGGGCCTTCCGGGACAGCTTCTTTTCATCCTGAAAGCCAGTGTCATTTAGGGCATAGAATAATGGTCTAGGACTCAGGAGGCCCCCCCGTTCCAATTGCCATGGGGCTCAAGAAAAACCCACTGGTGGGCAGCACAGGCAAAACTGTTTGTCAGATACCTTGGAAGCCCCACTTGGATTGCTGTAAATTGGAAGTGACTTGATACCACATCACCTACACACATACACATACACACACACACACACACACAAAGGCTTTCATTCTAGCAATAAAAGGCATGGCATCAAGTCAGTTCAGCCTTATGGTCACCTTTTTCAGGGTTGATAAGAGAATATACTCAGAAGTGGTTGCCCCATGCCCTTCTTTTGAGGAGGCTGCCCTGGGGTTACGGTGCAGCTTTTGCCCACGGCCACCCAGGCTGGGTCTCCTCCCAGTGGAAGCACCCAGTGAAGGCATCGAACACCCAACCTCTGGCTCCGCAGCCAGATAGCAAACACCCGCGGAGCTGGCCCAAGAGATTTAAGAAGTCAGGAAGCTGGAAGAGCATGTATGCAAACTAGACGGCTTGCATGTGTGGCTGGCAGCAGCGAAGGGCCCGCTCTGGGTGGGTTCCCCGTGTACAGGGAGGTGTGTGCAGGCAGCTCCCTATTTATGCGCCTCCCCATGCATGGCATTTCGAGGGCAGCGTTGAAGACAAAGGGGGAGGAAGGACTTAGAGCTGTGGACCTGATCCAGCGAGCCACGCAAGGGACTGAATTTTTTCCACACCTCCATAATCTTCCGTAAGCTCAGACTGGACTTTTTGGGTCCCTGCTCTTCCTTGCCTGTTGCTGTGAGAAAAGTTGGGGACGGGCGGGGCGAGGCGGGGGGGTGTCCAAGCCCTTCCCTCCATGCCTGTTCTCTCCTCTGCCCACCCTTTCTAGGAACTTCTTCAGGAGGTCCGGCGTGAACTGCAGAAGGTGAAGGAGGAGATCATCCAGGGTGAGTTGGCATCTGGGGCGAGGAGAACAGAGGGGGTTTCTTCAGGGGGGGCCGGGAAGGGGGGGCAGACAGACAGAAAGAAAGAAACAGGCTCTCACAGACCAGCCGAGGGGCTGTCACACCAACAGAGGTGGGGAGATGGAGATGGGGGTCTTCCTTGGGTGCAACCACAGGATGCCACAGAACTCCAGTTACTTGCTTGGTGCCCTCCTTCTGGGCACCCTGAAGGGTGTATGGGAAGCCACCACAAAACGCAGGATGCGGGGCTCTGCGGGGACCTTTGGCCGGATCCAGCAGAAGTCTCAGGGGTGATGGAGGGGGGGGGTTTCCACACCCACCTCACACCGGAGAGGAGAACAGAGGCCGGGCACCTGGGAATCTCCTCTGTCTGGTCCTTGATTTTTTGCACCAGAAACCTCCCATTAATCACCTGGGACCTAGCAGTTGTGAAAATTCCTCGTGTTGGCCTACAACTCCCAGAATCCCCTTGTGGGGGGGAGGGCAGGAGAAATCTCTGGGAACTCGAGGTTCAGAACGAGACTTTCTGCAGCTCTGCTGAAATCGGTTTTGAGTGTGAAGCTACCTGCGCAAAGACCGACATCTCACAGACCAAGAATGTGAGATCTCAGGAATGGAAAAGTCCACAGCCCCATCGCCTTTTGGGGGAGTGTGTGGGTTTGTCCGTTCCTGGCCTCGCCCCACAATCTCTCTCTCTCTCTCTCTCTCTCTCTCTGTCTTTCAGCATTTGTTATGGAGTTACGAAAGCGGGGGTCACCTTAGGACGCCCCCTCCCGCAGCCAGATGCCACCCGGCGTCAGCAGATGCTCTCCCAATTGTGCAGAAACCAATAAAAAATAAGGAAAAAAATGAAGAGCTAACACCCCCCCATCACCTCCCTTTCCCCTTTGTGCACCAAACAGGATCCACGCATCCCGCCCGCTCCCCCCCCTCTGCTCCCCTGTCGGCTCCCAGGCCTCTGCACCCCCACCCCCGCTGTGCAATTTCAGGGTGGGGGTGAGGGACAATCTACCTTGGCCCCCATCCCAGGAAGGGCAGGACCCCCCCACACCTGTGCCTTACCCGTAGCAATAGCAGCACCCCCAACCTCCTCCCCTGTGACAAGAGGCTGTTCTCATGGGGGGGGGTGTTAGGTCACGGGTCGTTTCCCTGGAGGAACTGGTTCCCCCGATTCCCCCCCCCCAAAAAATAATCCCGATACACTGTGCCATTCCCAGAGAGGGGGAGACCCTCCATTCCCTCCCGCCTCTTTTTCTCTTTGACCAGTCTTCTGTGTGCAAATTTTTGTTTTTATCCCCGGGAAGGGGGGCCTGGGGGCCGCCCAGCCAACGCTTGGGTTGCCTGAGGAAGGGGGTGGGGTGGGGGGCCCTGTCCTTTGTGGTGCCAATTCCTGGCATCAAGGACAATCATCCACACCATCGATCGGGAGAGGTTTCCTTTGGTGAAGCGGGAGGTGGGCAACACGGCTGGCCCCGAGGGTCAAATCTGCCCTTTGTTCTTGGGGTGGGCAAAGCCCATGGCCCCCCAAGCTGGGGTTCGATGGCAGCTCCCAACCTTCCTCCCCCTGGACCCTGTGGCTTGGGGGATGATGGGAGCTGTTGTCCATGGAAACCCAGACGGCTGCGTTTTGCCCATCCCCGCAGTTCAGACACCTTTGTTGCGTCTTCCTTTGCTTCCCTCTCTCTGATGGGGCCGGGGAGGCAACCAGCCGTTGCAGGAGAAAGCATGTGTGGTGAGGAAAAGAGATGCTAAAAGAGGCACCCCTGTTCCCCCCCCCAGCTGCAGAGGAGGAAGGGGGGCAGTTTGGGGGCCATTCTATGGCGGGACGTCCCCTCGCCTGGGCCAGACGTCTTGCTCCCTGCCAGCCACTACCACTACTGCCATGCATGCATAGCCCCCCAACCATGGAACTCTTTCCCACACCCACACCTGAAAAAAGGCCCTTTCAGCTGCTCCACACACTTCCCAAGACCCTCACCACCTCTTTCCAGACACACGGCTGTTTTCTCTTGGTTTTGTACCTTTTTTAAAAAAAAAAATTGTACACGCAGAGATGGGGTGGTTCTCAGAATATTTTCGGGGCACCCAGACTCTGCGTTCACCTCTCTGGGTAATTTTTTTACAAAATGTTTCCCACCCCTCTGCCTCCTTCAGGCTGTCGGAGGGCCAACGGGGCAGGTTCTTGGCTTTTCTACTGAGCTGTGATTTTTTTGACTTTTTGTTGAGCTGGATGGAATATTATATTTTGATTTTTTTTAATTATTAAGATTATTATTGTTGTTGTTACTGATCTGCTGGGTATTTCTGCCCAATTTCTACTCCCCTTTTCCTTCCGACACACAGGCACCCACTTGCGCGCTCGCTCGCTCACCCGCAGATGGGCACGAGGGTCTTAGCCACATGCACCAGACTTCTCTAGGAATAAATCTTTTCCTTTTTTGTAAAATTGCAAAAAAACCAGTGTGTGTGTTTTTCATTGTGTCTTTTGGGAACCAGTGGGCTTCACATGGAAGGACACTTGTAACAATTTAGTTTGAGTTATATAGTGTATTTACATGCCATCAAATGAGAACCAATTTATAGGGACCTTAATTGGGCTATCAAGGTGAGATATTCAAGGAATGGCTTGACCAGCTACACCCCCACCCAGCGAGCCTCCAGAGAGCCAGGAATTTGAAACCAGGCCTCCTGAGTCCTGGTCTATCCACTAGACCACACCAAGTAGAAATGTAGTCATTTTACTTATATTCCATCTTTCCTTTACAAAGCATCTTCAAGCATCTAAATGGCTGTCCCATGGAAGATGGCACACCAGGTTTTCTGAGGGTAGCAGTGGAAGCAGTAGGCTCAAATTACAGGAACTCAACCAAACCTAACTAAATCCTCCTGGGGTTAGTGCTGCTTACATAGGATGTTCACATTTCGGATTGCAAGATTTGGTACTTCCAGTTTTAAGGGTTTCACCTTGTTTAGGCTTGACTCCAGTTGAATCTAGTATTCGGATTGGATTCCTTTAACCGTAATAATCTTAGACCTGAAAAGCTGGAAAGGGCCCTAAGGATCATCCTGTCCAGCCCCTGTAAGGGAAGCCCAGTGGGGGAATCCAACTCCCAACCTCTGGCTCCACAGCCAGATCCCTAACACTCCGAGTGATCCAGCAGATCTTAAAAGATGTCCTGGAAGAGTCCTCTGGTTTCTATGCCTTAATAGAGGTTGGAAAGGGGAAGGAGAGGTTTTGGGGGGGCGATTTCCTCAAAGCAACCCACACCATCTACCCTTTGGGCTGGGTGGCTGCTCAGCCAGAGTGGGATGCCGAGGTCCAACCCATGAGGGATTCAAGGGTTGGAATCCTGACCCCAAGCCACATCTCGCCCCTTTGCACACTGCCCTCCCTGTACGTCATGTTTACTGCCACAGGTAATCCTAACCTAGAACAGGGTATTAGGAGGCAGTTTTGAGAAGATAAGGCAGCCCTGAGCATGGGGCCAACGTGTGCCTTTGCACCCTTCCTCCACCCTGCCCCAGTTCCATGTTTTTCCATAGTATTTTGCACAGTTCGGGCCTCTGTGTGGATTTCCTGGTGCTTTCCACTTAGGCCAGAGCTAGCAAAGGCAGTCAATACAAGGGTTTTTAGAGCAGTTAGTAAATGAAGCAGCTCGTTATAACAGAGCTGGGAGGCTTTAGAACGTGTACAGGCGAAGCCTGGTGCAAGACTCCCTTTTAAAAGCACAGGCGTGCGAGAAGTTCAGCTAGGGCGGCTGGCAGTTGCGAAATGTAGTAGGTTGTGTCTGATAATGGGATGAGTCGAAATTTATGGTGGTTTCTGTTGCTGGTTGGGATCAGACAAGCCCTGGCATTGAAAGGCTTAATCTTTTCCCTAGAGCAAGGCAAGCAGTGTGGTTAGGTCTTCTCTGGGTTGTGCTTCCCCCTCATCCGCTAGATCTTCCAATTTGGCCGCATCCAGTTGCACAAACAATATTCAAGCAGAGAACCTGCCTAGTGCTCATTTCCCTCCTGAAGCCCTGAAATGAGCCACACCCTTTCACGGTGAAGTCTCTTCTTACTTGCTCTAACCTTTCTTCACTGTTTTTTATGCATGGATTTCTGGGGGTTGTGTTGCTGCCAGTGGGATCCAGGAATCCCTGTCCACCTCGAGTCCATCCGGATCTACCTTCTGCTCTGGCTGTCGGAGTATATTCACTTGAAGACCATGGGCAACAGGAGTGTGTTCCTTCCTGTTCCTCAGGCTGGCCTTGATTGCGAGGAAGGCTCTGTGGATGGAGCTCCTCATTTTCCAAGGCCACAAATAGAGAACATCTGGTCCTTGTGTTGCCTGTGCTGCACTCCCATGAGCCTCACCGTCACCAACGGCAGATGTGGCAGCAATGGTACTTTGGCAACATCTGAGTCCACAGCATGCCTCGCTCTAACCTGTGCTCTCCATGATCCTTGTATTCTGGTTCTTTGTGCTAACTGGATGAACAAATACAAGTTTCAACTAGACAATGTTAGAAGTAAAGCAAATACCAATAGCCATCTCATGCAAAATGTGGAATTGTGACTCTTGTATCTAATACCAGGTTAGGCGCTCCCCTGCTGAGTTCTGTCAAATCCCTGTGTAAACAACCCTTCACAATTTTCTTGCAACAGTTCTCATCTCCCCAGCACACAATTCAGAAAGGCCACTAAAACACCCCACAAAGTGCTTGCTGTTTTTTCTACAATAAGGCTCCACTGCACTGCTAAAGCTTCAGCCCTCCCTGAAAACAAACCTTTAGCTCCTAGCCAGTAACACCAAGATAAAGGAGCTCACTTTGTCTCTTTTTTCTTTTAATAGACTCTGTATTTACATTCTAGGTGAAGGCCAAGCCACTCAGCAGCTGGACAGGAGGAGTGAGTGCATTGCAGGTCTTCTGCCCCCCTCCCCCCGCAAATCCTGCTGCGCGGTATAGGGCCCCTGCAGCAATCCAGCCAAGGGACCTCCCTCACAGGTGGGCGGGAGGCTGCCCTTCCCAGAGGGCTGCTGCTTCTCTCCTGGGTGGGGTAGGGACAGTTATTTCTTTTTTGGGGAATTTGAGATCTCCACTAGGACCCGGTTCGTCTCTCGCAGCCGTGCGTCCAAAGTTTCCACAGTCAAGGACAGTTCTGAAATCTGTTCCTGCAGGCCAAGGAGGGTGCTGCTCAGCTCATCCTCTTTCTTCTTGGTGTTTGCGGACTGGCGGGCGTATTCCAAGAAGATACACAGCCCTCCCACCCCAAAGACGATGGCTTCTCCCAGCAGTTCCGCCCCCAGTTCTGCTGCCGCCTCCTCGTTCAGCGGCTTGATGGCAGCTCCCCGAAATCCCATGATGCGCATCTTGGCCCGCATCTCGATCCAGTGGTAAACTGTGGAAGGGAAGGGGGCGAGGTGTTTAAAACAAGGCCTCGTTCCATGGATGGCGCTGGGCCAAACCCAAAGCTTGAAAAAGTTTTCTTTCTAAAGATCTGATGTTCAAGAAATCTCCAGCCCCTCATGGCACTCAACGATTCTGAAGTGACTTTTCCTTGATCTGGGAAAGCGCACACACAAACACACAGCCGACAAACGGGGTACTCTTCTCCCCTTCAGCTGCCACTAGAACCAGCAAAAAAGGTTATACTCTCCTGACTGCACTGTCCATATAAAAAGGGGACGTGACAGTCCAACCAGTGTTAACAGGATGGGGACTGTTGCTGAAGAGTTGCTCAGTGGACCACCTTTCCCCACCAGAACGGCTAGTCTGGAGAAGGGCAGGTTAGGTGCTCCTGCTTTGCAGGCGCATCTCCTGGCAGGGGTGCTCAACCTGTCCTCTTCCTGGCCATTTTGAGGTGCCACGTGTCACCTAGCCAGTGGCTCTGTCTAGGCTGGAGGTCCCTTTGTGCCTTTATGAGAACGGCACGGTGTCAGCCTGTCTCTAAGAGGTGGGTAGCCTGTTCCAAGGTTTGCCTCTTCCATGTCCCACCACAGGGAGAGTTGAGGTGGGAGAATGCGGCGAGGCACCTCCAAATTACTCCCTTCTCGCACTCATTTCCCCTCCCTTCCCATCTCACCAACTGAAAGCAGCAGGAAATGCTGACCAAGCCGTGACCTCCGCCAGACAAGACTCCGAAGGATGGCACAGGAGGCACACTGATATTCATCTCCTCTTTTTTTAACCTGAAATTCCTGTTTTGCAAGGAACGGTTTGCTTCGCCTGTTCTCACAGCCACTAAACATGCACCGGAAGTCGGGGGGGGGCGTCTCATTCCTGCCTGACCTGCCCCTCTGCTTGTGGCGAAATGACTGGCCTGTGGCCGCCCCACAGATAATCCATAGGGTCTTCCTGGTGGGGCTGTTTTAGAGGTTGCTCAGGAGGGAGAAGCCAGGCATCCTTCAATAAAGTGAGCCTGGCCCATTTTCCTGCTTGAGGCAAGTCTTCGTATTTAGACTGCGGCCAAGGCCTGGAAGGCTGCCTCCCTGAGGCCAGATGGGCAGGCGAAGGGGCTCAAAGGCGCTCTGTGCATGCTCAGAGATAGTGAAGAGCAGCAGGGCAGGTCCCTCTCTGATCCACCTGCCTTCCCTCATATGCGCGTGTAGACTTCCCTTGTGCCAGGAGGCTTCCTTTCACGACTGACCTTGAAGGCCAGGACCTCCTCCCCTCCCTCCTTCCCTGTGACAAGGCATAGGCAGCCGGTTCGGGGCAGAGCTTGTGGAGGGAGGAGGGGAGACTCACGCTTCGGACTGCAAGACCCAGAATCCCAAGCATCCCAGGACATTGGTTTGAGGCTGATGGGGATTCTGGGAGTTGCAGTCTGGGAGCCTCCGCTATGATCACGTGCCGCACCCAGGTCCCCTCTCCAAGCTCCCTGATTGGCTACGCCCTTTCCCCCTAAAGCCCGCCTCCCGCACGGACCTATTGGTTGACTCCTTCCCTGGGCCCCGCCCATGCAGGCTCCTATTGGCGCGCCCCAATCCCTGAGGAGCGGCTCCCCCTATCGGCAGCCTGCGTCAGCCCCCCCCTCCCGGGCCCCCTTACTCACGCTGCGCGGGGGGGCCGCAGACGTACTGGCGAAAGAAGGGGCTGGCGCGGGCCCCGTCCTTGATCCGCGCGGCCAAGGGCTTCGAGATCTGCCGGACGCCCAGGTAGAGGAGCTTGGCGATGGGGAAGGCGCCGGCCACCATCCTCGCGCTCCCAGCGGGCCCCGCGCGGAGCGGCCCCGCCCACAGCGCCGCCGCTGACGTCAGTGCGCACGGACGTCAACGCCTGAGCGCCCGCCTCTGTCGTCACCACGCACGCCTCAGGCGCTCCTGTTATGGATTCCCAAGACTGAGTTTATGAATATGCAAATTGACCCCTCCCCCTTCGCTGTAACCAAATACGGAAGCGCGTAATAAGGTGAGCGTATGGTCAGTTAGCTCCGCCCCCAAACCCAAGAGTCAAGTGAGGTGGAAATATGTGAATTCATCCCCTTGTTTGCTGACTCTTTTCGGGTCTCTGCGACCAGGCCTTCCTAGTGACCGGCGGGCCATTTCCGGCGTGTACCGGAAGTCTAGTAACCGCCATCCCTCGCCTGTGAACGACGGCAGCCATAGAGTTGTACAGGAGAGAGTGGCGCCAGTTATTTCACGCCGGAAGCAGGGGCGGCGGGCACGCCCCCTCCTACTGGCTACCCAATCAAACGTCGCCTCTTCCCCCTAGGCTGGTGGCGGGAAATGTGCGGGGCGGCGGGAGCACGTGGGCGCCGGTGGAGGGGCTGGATGGCAAGATCTCCGTGGAGGTCGGGGGGGCTTCGCCAGGGGGAGGGTTAGCTTGTTGTTGAGCCCCCTTTCTCGTCTCGGATGCTTCTCCTGGTCGCTCCTGCCCGTGGTTAGCGTCCTCTTCCCCCCCCCGTGATTTCCATGGCAGCAGTCCAACCGGTGAAGCTGCTCCTGTTGTGAAGACGCCCTTTAATGGACAGCTTCACCTGCCGAATTGCCTGCATTTTAAGGAAACCTCGAGAGGCGGGAGCCTTCCACCGCCGCCTGCAACGCTGCCAGCTGTTCAACAAGTGAAGCTTCCGGGATGGAGATTTCACGCTGCTCTTAAAGGAGCTGGAGCTCAAGCTTCGCGAACGGTCCCGGAGGAAAATCTTCCACATCCCAGATGTCACCTCTTGTCTTTCTGCCCCTTCCATTTCATTCTTACTGTGTCGTGCGCGTTCACTTGGTCCCATGAAGTTAAAGGGCAGTGAGCTGCCAGTCGTGGTCCGCAGCCAGGTAGCATGGGAAGGAAGAGGAAGCTGGGTTTTCCCAGAGGTGTTGGCGTGCACCCCCCCCCTCGTGGGTAGGGAGGTTTAACCCATGTACCCGGGCATCAAAGAACCGCTGCCGATGCTGGGTGCTGCCAGGATGGGGCCAAAGTATATAGACTGTACCTGCCCAGCACTCTGATCTTGTACTTTGCCTTGAGATGTTAGTCTTTTCCTCCTAAAGACTTTGGGGGGTGGGGTGGGATTTTCTCTGAAACTGGAGCTCGGCCATCCTGCTGAGGGGCTGTGAATGATGGAACTGACCCACCTCAAGGTTTTCTCTCTTTCACTGTCTTCCAACTCAATGGCTGCTTTGCGCAAATAAATGTGTGATCAAGGTAACACCCATCCAGAACTTGGAAATATTACATCTTTTGACTTCAGTTCTCGGCAGCATCCTTTTAGGGTTTCCAGTTCCACCCAGTATAGCTTGCTGTCAGCACTGGTTGGATACAGACCTCTCGGGAGACCAGATTTAATTTTTGGAGTTTGTAGTCCAGCAGCTGAAGCAGAGTAAAATGACTTGTTCCAAATTTTGTATATTATGATACTTTTGTTCCACATTGGAAATATTTTTAATTTTGCTTCCAGATTTTTTTTTAATGTTTGGTTTGTGTCAAGGAACATTATGTTGCCTTATAACCTGACGGAGAGATAACAACTGTATCAGTACATTTTGTATACATTTATTTCCTCTTCTGTACTCTTGTAGTAGATTAATGTAATTTGCAAACCCTAATGAGACCCATCTCTGTGTGAATTCTGTTACTATAGTAACACTTTATGGCCGTCTATATGTCTTCACAGTTCTGATTGAAAAACTAATGTGTTTAGAAGACCAATGAAGTGTTAACGATTTGATGACTTGATAATAAGGTGAGAGGAGACGTCATGTAACACAATTACATTCTGGGTCTCTTGGAGTATAAAGATTTCTGTGGAAAGGTAGAAGATTTTCCTCCTTCTTTGGCTGTGTGTTCTCCTCTCCTGAGGGACAGCTTGGCTGCTTGCTGTATTTTGTATTGCCACGAGACTTCCCACCGGGTTGGCCTGACCATGTGAAATAAAAGTTAGCAGAAGAGGCAAGAGGAAATGGGGTCAACGTAAGCATTGAAAGCTTTTCGTTCAGCCTCTACTCTCTCAAGTGCCACCTGCTTTGCTCAGCCTTCCTGGAAAAGCTGGAAAGGATGGTATCGACAAAGGGAGAAACTAGCCATAGTACAGGGTCAGTGCTGTGACCATGAAGACTGGGAACCCCACAGCTTCTCTGGCCGCTAACCAATCCACTGAGTTGTGGAGTCTTGTGGGAATTTATCCTGCCTCTCTGTATGAACCATTAGGTACACCACAGGCCTTTCTTGTGAGGGGGGGGGGGAAGAAAAAGTGGAAAAGAGCTTTTGTAATCTGAGCTCTGTGGGGAGCTAAAGGGCTCAGCATTCCCCTGCCCTGCCTTGCCTCCACACCAGCAAACCATGTCCTTCTGTGGCCTTGGTGATCCAGCAGGCAGTCATCCCAGCCACTTGACCGGGAAGGCAATCAAGAAGATTTGGATGACATGAAAGGCAAAATAAACAGAAGCAGAGAAGGAATCCCACTCTAAAGCTCCATTCTCATCAGTCTTCCCAGAGGAAGCATCTGGGGAGCAGCTGGGCTTCAAGAGTCTTGGAAGATGCTGGCCTCACCATTTGTTTCCCTTGAGCAAAGGTAGGGATGTTCACCCACTCCTAGGACCCCTGGAGTGTGTGGGCGTGTTTGGGGCATCTGGGCTGTAAGAGAGACCTTGCCCCGCTGGAGTTCATGGGAGGTCTCTTCCCCTCAAGGGATATTCCCACCCAGCCTCACCTTTGGCCTCGTCCTTTTTGTTCCCAGGAAGGCTTTTGACGTAGTGGCCCTCTCAATCCTCTTTTAAGTGCTGAGATTAGGCTGTTGTCATTTACTGTCATCTCGCAGGCTCCTCCCCCTGCCCCTCCGTGCATTCCTATGAAAGGGAGTCATTTGTGGGGGCAGAATGGTGCCAGGGCCCCTTGCCAAAAATCCTTCCAGCTTGATGGTGGAGGCAAAGAAAGCAGAGGGGGGGGGGTTGGACAGTGACTCCCTGGCTAGGGAATTCTGGGTGTGGTAGTCTAGGAAAAGCAGCACACCCAAGCTCTGAGTTAAGCATGTCATGTCGAGACCTGTTGTGGGTGGGTGTGCACGTCCGTGCAAGAGGAGCTGCCTATAACACCCTCTCCATGTTAGAAGAAGAGACCTGGGTTCCGATCATCCCTTCAGAGACACGACTTGGCATTTGCAAGGAAGAGACTTGTGAACGTCTGAATGTGGGTACACAGGGGGCAAATCCTCTCCTGTCCTCTCTTCTCCCTGTCTGCCTCTGCTGTCCAAGACAGACAAGGGAGGGCTTGTTTTCGTACTGCACATAATTAATCTGGGGGATGCTGTGCTCTGTGATGAGGTACAGATGACTCTTTGGAAAACAGAATTAGAGAGACTCCCGGAAGGAGCACAGACCTGTCCATGGCTCTTGCTCCGCACTGCATAGCACAGACCTCTGGGGAGCGAGACCGCCTGGTGGCTTCCACTCTGTAACTTCTCTCTGGATGTCTTTCTGGCCAGGACTGAGGTTTGAATTCCCTGTTATCAGGATCTGTGGTATGGGTATTCTTACTAGGGTGCTTTCTGCACAAGAGCTGGTGAGGCAGAGCTGCTGAGAGACCGAGCAGCACATCGGGGAATCTCAAGTTGAATTTTGCCTTAAGCATACTCCACCTTCTTCTACCCTCTTCCACCCTCACCTCCAACATGCGGGTAATACGTAATACTGAGCCTCTCTCAACACCAAGAGAAAACATGTGATGTGCTCTGAACACCTGAGAGAGCAACAGAAAGGCCAGGTGATACCATTTTTAGTTGCCCTTTCATGTGGAACCTATGGCAGAAACGTGCACTATGAGTTTCTAAATTGTTATAATACTATTTTATTTTCAACGCTCAGTTTACTGCCCCAGCAAATTGCCATTGGGAGGAAGGCATCCTCAGGGTGTCTCACTGAGTGGGCCCAGATGTGTAGCAAGGGAGCATTCACGGGTGGAAAGTCAGTATCTTCATCTGGAGTTCCTCCTCGCTCCTCCCCACCTCAGCCGGCAAGGGGGGCAGCGCGAGCGCCAAGGGCTGCCGGCAGAAACTGCCTGCCTTGGAGGAGAGGGGGGTGTCCAGGGTGAGGGAGGCATTTGCCATCTCCTGGGGTTTGGAGCTGGCCAAGAAGCGCATGAGGGTGGAGAGGGCCTTGGTCACGTCACTCCGGGCCCCCTCGTTGGCAAAACAGTAGAGGATGGGGTCGGCCACACAGTTCAAGCTCGTGAAGGCCAGGGAAGTGTGGTAAGCCACAAAGACCTTCTCCTCAAAGCTGCAGTCACAGGGCTTGCTTAGGTAGACAGCGCTGCGGGAGAGCAGGATGACGTGGTAGGGGGCGAAGCAGAAGAGGAGGATGATAATGAGGCTGAGGGAGAGGCGTTTGATCTTGGCCTTCTCCTGCTTCTCGGTGGAGATATTCCCACGCACGGCCCGTAGGATCCCCTGGTAGGAGAAAAGCATCAGCATCCATGGGAAGAGGAAACCTATGAAGACCCGGTAAAGGTTCATCCAGGCCACCCATTCCTCCATGGGGTACTTCTCGAAACAGAAAGTGTGGTTGTAGCGGTCGTGGAAGAGTTCGTCGTGAAAGAGCGGGGCCGAGTTAGCCCCAATCTCTATAGTCCACACCACCAGGCTGATGGCCAACGCCGTCTTGACCCTCCGGAACTTGGCAAAGCGCAGAGGGTGCACCACGGCCAGGTAGCGGTCCACGGAGATGCAGCAGAGGAAGGCGATGCTGATGTAGATGTTGGTGTAGAAGATGAACCCAAAGACCTTGCAGGACTGCTGGCCATGGATCCAATTGTCATAGTGAAGGAAGTAGTCGATCCAGAGGGGCAAAGTGGCAATGTAGAGCAGGTCTGCAATGGAGAGGTTCATCAAGTAGACGCCCAACTCGTTCTTCTGCCTGACCTGGAGGTAAGCGGCCCAGAGAGCCATGCCGTTGGTGGGGAGGCCGATGGTGATGACGATGATGTAGAGCGTCGGAGGAAAGAGGTGGTCGATCTTTGAGTCCACGCGGCAGCTCCAGCTGACTAGTGTTGTGTTGCACATCCTTGAGGCAAGAACGCAGTGGGGCTCTCTGGGACGTGGCGGGAGCTAAAGGGGTGGCAAATCCCAACTCAGAGCAGGAGTCTACCAGGCTGGAGGTGGTACGTCGGCGGTGCTCCGCAGGCCATTGCAAGGAGGTCGCAGGAGCCGGCATGCAGTGAGATCTCCACCAGCCCCCTCAAGAGGAGGCCTTTCCCCTTCGCCACCTGCCCCTCTAATTAACACGGCTGTGGCCGCCGTGGTCTCTCAGGGGACCTTCTTGTTCTTTCAGGCCTGGGAGGAAAAGAGAAGGCCTAGGTTAGTTATTTAGGAAAGTTCTATGTATACCACACTGATTAGTGATAAACACTACCCTGGGTTGTTTATATCCAGAGTTAAATGAGCATAAAATAAAACAAATTATAAATATACCGTAGTAAGAAACAAACACATCATATAATCAGATAAATCTGGTTGAAGTTATTACAGGAGCCTTATATGGTAGCGGAGGAGAGGATTCCTTTACTGAGCCACCAAAACGTTACAAAGGAAATAAATCTTTTGTGTCTTTTCAGAATTCTGCAGAGGTTCGGCATCACACACTTTGGAAAGGCGGTGTGGAGAAGCCATAAAGCTCAGACTTCATGCTCGCCAGATATTAATAGGCAAGGGAGCCTTGGTTATGCAAGCTGCAAAATGAAGGCTGCGAGCTTGGAGAGCGAGCGGAAGGCAGGTTGTTACCAGGTTTTCCTTTAAGGGACAGAGAATCAATGGCTCTTCCTCATCTCTGTAGTAACGACTGTTCCTCTGGTGATTAACATCTGACCAAGACGAATGTTGAACTCCCCTTTTTCTTCCATGCCACCTTCCCAAATGTTGCCACACCTAGTCAGGGAAAGAGTTCTAAATATCAGGGGGAAAACTTCCTAACCATTAGAGCGGTACAACAATGGAACAGTTGACCTTGATAGATGGTGAATGCTCCAACGCTGGAGGCGTTCAAGAGAAATTTAGACCGCCATCGATGAGATCTGCTTTGACCTGGATTCCTGCCTCGAGCAGCAGGTTGGACTCTGTGATCCTTGAGGCCCTTCTAGACGTTCACCTCCCAACTGCCTGATGCACCAACCCATGGCCAGGAATGGAGGCCAAACACCCGGAAAGCCTGGCCCTCTGTTGGGCCAATTCTGGGCAGAGGAGGCTATCTGGGGAAGTGGCCACTAAAGCCTTGCCCACCGGACCGGTGGCCGGGAGGCACTCCTTTCGGGCTGAGGCAGAGAGATCGGCAAGGGGCGCCTCCTGCGAGCCAGAATGGGAGTCCTGAAGAATAATCAAGGAACGCCCAGCGTGTACGTAACAGCTGCACAGGCCAACGTGCAACAATCCAAGCGCTGCCTGAGAGAGAATATGCAAATGCTTGCAAAGGCAGGCACATCACAACTGGCCCCACTCAAGGTTAGGGTTCCTGGGGATCTGGTCCCTCAGCTGGATCCTTCCTTCCAGGGCTTTCCAGTCACGGTCCCCCAGCCCCAAGCACACCTTTGGTTCTGAACCCGGAGACATTGATGCCCCTCTAGCCGCCAAGTGCTATGAGAAAGCAGGCAGTGAGATGGCCAGTTCAGACCATCTGCACAACGCTTCCGCTCTCTCCCCCCCCCGCCTCTTTTCTGCACAACAGCACAGCCCTCGACTTTCCATCATTAAGCTGTCTAATTCTCTCCCCCACCCCCACCCCACCCCCTGTAAACAGAAATATTAAACAGAAATATTCTAG